ATAGGAATAATAAGTCAAATCTAGCTTTCTGACTCCTAAGGATCTCAAAAGTTCACTGGAGGAAGTTGCAAGCTATGAAAGAAACTAAAAACAGAAAAAGTATAAAATTCAGTACAGAAAAAAAGTTAAAATTTGAATCATGATTATATTAAGCAATATATGTTATATTATATTATCATATCATGTCATATTATATTCCTGGCCCAAGATAGCTCTTAAAAGGAGTTTAAAGGTAAAAATAACAGTAGCAAATGGCAGCACACTCACAATACTGTAAAACAATACTAACAATGCTATTTTTGTCCTTTTTAAAAATAAGACAATTCAAATACAAAAATATCTCAAATTAAATCAAAATGAAGAAAAACATGAGCATAAACAAAAAATAAAATACGAATCATGATTGTATCAAGCAACATATACTAACCATGAATCAGGGAGCCATTCAGCCATTGAATATAGTAGTTCTGAGGAAAAGACAGCAGGATCTCATTGCTGATTATTGAGAAGGGTAAAAGCAGCACAGCCCCAGCTGACACCGCAAGAGTGAAGGTGCTCAGAAACAACCTGAAAGAGAAAAGAGCTGTGGTCACTGGTGTCTGGAAAAGTGGCAGACATGAAAGAGCACAAACCATTCCAAACTTTAATCAAAAAGCACACCAGAATCTCCTTAAATACAAGCAGTTGGGAGACAAAGGATCAGATGCAATGGTGGAGCTGAGCTATGTGAACTCTCACAGCCCTCCCTCTCCAGGACAAGCCGTTCACTCTCAGGAGGAGAGCTGAAGGCACATGCGGTCTTCATGCAGCCTACACTGGCGCTGCGCTCCTCGACAGCAGTGCTGCATTCCTCCTTTTTTATTTTAGGGAAGCGTCTGCAGAGCGTAAGGGCAGCGTCTACAGGGCGTCAGATCCAGGTCTACAGGGCGTCAGGGAAGGGTCTACAGGGTGTTAAGGAAGGGTCTACAGGGTGTTCAGTGTCTCACTACTAGATCAGACTCATAGTCATCTGCCCATTTACAGCCTCCCAAAAGCTGGGATTACAGGTGTGCGCCACTATGCCCAGTCTTAATTGCCACCTCAGCATGCCCCGGGGATGGCGCCGACACAGCAGGCCCAGATATCGAACCCATGGCTCCTGCTTGCAAGTGCTTTAATCCGCCGAGCTATTTGGCTGGCCCTTTCACTCCTCTTTCAAGTGTTCTTTTCACACAAGAAGAGGAAAATGCCAATTACCTGACTGTATCCGTGCATGCTTTACACATGTTGAAATATCACACTGAACACGTAAATATGCACTATTAATACATGTTAATAAAAGAACTACAAACAACCAAGAATAAGAAAACAAAATTCATTTATGATTCTACCATAAAAACAGAAGCAATGTTAAAATAGTAATAAGAAAATTCTTCCTGTAAATAAATACATAAAATGGCTACAGGGACAGGTTGAAGGGAAAACTGTAGGCCTGAGAGCATTTTGTGTGTGTGTGTGTTGTTATTGTTCTTTTGTGGGGTTTTTGGTCCTGGGAATTGAATACGATCTTGTACTGGACAGGCAGGCGCTGTGCCACTGAGCTATAATCCCAACTATTTTGAAAAGGAATAAAATGGCAAAGAAAATTCCATTTATTTAGAGATAAAACCTTAATTTCCATTCCACTAAGTTTTGGAAGAATGTAAAAACAGATGTAAGAAAATCTAAGAAAAAGCAGGAGGAAAGGGCCAGCAAGATAGCTCAGCAGACTAAATGCCTGCTTAGGCAAGCACAAGGTCCAGGGTTTGATCCCCGGCACCACATGCCACGCCAGCCCCGCCCCCAGGCATGCTGAGCCACGGAGTCCAGGCACAGGGGTGCACACCTGTAATCCCAGCACTGGGGAGTCCAAAATCAGGAGGATCACTACGAGTCTGAGCTGCACAGTGAGGAAAACAAAAACCACACCAAACACCTCAGAGTAACTTTGAGGCCCACGCCATCTTGTGGCAATGAACAGAAGTGTACTCTCCTAGGTAAAAACCAACATGAACTGGAAACCTGTGCTGAGTAAATGGGATACAAGTAAGCATCAGGAATCCCTGCTGAGTGGACCGCACCCCTCTGGGAGAAGCAAGCAGTGAGGCCCTTGGTCCCGGAAGGGCCAGCTATGCAGGCGATCTCAGCAGCCTTCTCCAAGCAAATGAGGGTGCTGCCCAGATCACTACCATTCCTCCCGATGCCAAAGCCAGAACCGAATGCAAACTCCCACCACTCCAGGTTCTGGCCTGCTACCCCCGGATCCTTCCCAGTCGCCCCCAACTGGGACACATTTCGGCACCCACTTGTTTCCCAGCCCTCACGTCCTACACACCGAACGCGTCTACAAGGTGAGCCCCTCTCTGCTGGCTGCTCCTTCCCCAGGGTGCCCTCCACACTAGTTTCCGGCAGAGCTCCAAAGCATGTGCTCTGCCGAGCATTCCCCAACTTCTTGCTGCCCTCGATAAATTAGCTCCTCTCGCCACTTTCACCTCTGCACACACCTGGCAACCAAGGCCAACATTTTCAAATCAAAAACCGGAATAGGTAAGCTGACAAAAGAAGTCAGCACACGAGCCCAAGACACAAGTGACCAGAAAATTCTAAATACATGGCTACCATAACTGCAATGGTTGCTTTCTTCAGCAAAAAATTCCACTAGAATATGTTCCACTTTAGCTTCTATGAAAGAGAACAAAATCACCTCTGCTGCCCCTGAGTAGCTATGCAAAGAGCTATTCAGAAGACTCACACAGGGATGGCCAGACAGCTCAGCTGATCAAAGCGCCTGCTCAGGCAGACACAGGGCCTGGGGTTCAATCCCCAGCCTGCCATGCTGACCCTGCCCCCGGGGTGTGCTGAGACTGGGTATGGTAGCACGCACCTGTAATCCCAGCACTTTGGAGGCGAGAACAGGTGGATCACTACAAATCCAATCTACGTAGTGAGACCCTGTAGACCTTGTAATAAATACATCAAAAATAATAATAATAAAAAGGCTCGGCCCTCTTTCTCTTCAACGAGGCGGCCGAGCGGACACAGACATGCAGATCTTTGTGAAGACCCTGACGGGCAAGACCATCACCCTCGAGGTTGAGCCCAGTGACACCATCGAGAATGTCAAAGCCAAAATCCAAGACAAGGAGGGCATCCCCCCTGACCAGCAGCGTCTGATATTTGCCGGCAAACAACTGGAGGATGGGCGGACCCTCTCTGACTACAACATCCAAAAAGAGTCCACCCTGCGCCTGGTGCTTCGCCTGCGAGGTGGGATCATCGAGCCCTCCCTGCGCCAGCTTGCCCAGAAGTACAACTGTGACAAGATGATCTGCCGCAAGTGCTATGCCCGCCTGCACCCCCGTGCTGTCAACTGCCGCAAGAAGAAGTGTGGCCACACCAACAACCTGCGCCCCAAGAAGAAGGTCAAATAAAGCTCAGCCAGCCCCTCGTCCAGAAGGGCACCACCTGCCCAACGCCTGCAGCCTTGGGGCCTGAATAAAGTTTCCCTCCCTTGACTAGAACAGCAAAAAAAAAAAAAAAGGCTCACACAATGAAGTTAACATAGTAGAGGGTCCTTAAAATGTAGCCCTGAGTTTAAGAAACCTAGTAGTAGAGCACAGCACAATCAGAACAGTGCCCTACAGTGCCCTTTCAGAAGTGAAAGGTAATTTCAGAAACATTACCTTCTACAGTGGAGCAGTATGTTATAAACAGTACATCTTTAGAGTAATGTATCTTTTGTCACTGTGCTGGTAGTAAAACCAAAGTTCCTTCCAATACCTGACAGTTGGGACTATCTCCCTAACCCAACCACCAAGGAAGCCCCTCTTTGCATCCCAAGCTAGTGTGGGCTGGCTCTCAGCTGCGGACTGTAACTAGTGGAAGCACATCCATCATCTCCAGAGCATCCCATAAGGCACCTCTGCAAAAGCTGCTTAAACCCACCTTTAAACTTTGCTAACTTTCCAAAAGCTGTCACATACTTGCAGCTGGCAAAATGCTAGGCCCTGTGCCTGGACCTCTATGTCCATTCCAGATCACCATCTCCAGGCTCGTCCCAGGATTTTTACCACGGCCCCGCAGTTCCTCAGCCCCAGAAGGTGGAAAAAGGAGCGTAAACTCCCTCTCACCCTGCACCAGACAGGCCACCATGGACACAGGATGCTGCTGCTGTCCCTGCCAGAGCCAAGGACCTGGCTTTCCCAGGGACCACATTCTTCACCTTCCATGTTACCTGCTCCTCTAGCTTCAGACTCTCAGCATACACTTTCTCAGGAATTTCTGCTTTCAAAGCTTCCTAAGTAGACTTACACATCTTGTCCTACTTGTATATCGATGTCTTATTTTAAGCCACTGCAGTAGGATTCCTACTATCATCGTAGTGATGAGACAGCTCTCCTTGTGATCAAATCTATTCAACACTGCTCGGTTGCGATCTAAACCTGACCTTCTATACTATCTCAAGGTCACAAGCCAAGTTCTCTCCGTGCAATTCTTCCCCCAACTGCTGCAACATTCCCTCTGCCCTCACTTTTACTGCGAGACTCCACTCACCTGCAGAAGGCTGGGTTCTCCGTGGAGCTAATCACTGAACGCACGCTGGTAACTTCACCTCCCAGCCTCTCACTCTCAATCAGTGGCTCTTCCAGTGAGATGAGTGTCCAGCACGCCCTCCAGGCCACAGTGGAGAGCCACCAGCACCATCAGAAGCACCCTCGGAGCTCCTGTGAGTGCACACGCCACAGGCCCAGTCTGAGCGGGGCTTCGGCAGAGCCCTTTCTCCAGGGCCATGCCCGAGAGTCCTCCACTCACCAGGACTGCTGGAGGCACCTTAGAGTGGTGAATGACAAGATACACTGGCTCTCCCAGGGCCCATGTGTTTAGTAAAGGCCTTGGTGCTACAGAAAAACAAAATGCTGAGGAGGCCCGGAGATGGGGAGGAAGACGCGCAGGCTGAATATGCAGTGGGTAGAGCTCACCAAGAAGCGGAAATTTAGAGAAAAACAAAGCAAAAACAAAACCAAGGGGATTACTGCTGTACTGTCTCTCAAGTAAATGTTTTTAAAAAGAAAAGAGGTAATAAATGAAACAAGAGACAAGGAAAAAAAAAAAAAGCCAAGGGGAGAGAATGTGACGAAGCTACTCTGGGCAAACAGGCTGAAAGCACATGCGGCTCACGCTGCGGCCGGACACGAGCCACAAGGGCCAGATGGTCAAGGAGATGCTCAGAGAACGCCTCGAGCCGCCATGAGCACCAAGGCTGCCTGTGAGGGCCACAAGGCCCCTGCAGAGCTCTGAGCACAAGAGGGGAGTGAGTTGGCACTATTCAGACTGTAAGCAAGGATAGGAGCAAAGAAAAGTGTAAGAAGCTACTGCAGCAACACAACTGGGGACTCTAGCCACTGTGGCAGCCAAGGAGAGAGAACAAACACAATTGCTGGGGCCAGGGAGATGGCTCAGCAGGATAAACGCTTGACTGGCAAACGCAAGGATCTGAGTTCAATCCCTGGTTCTGCCAAAAAAGAAAAAAAAAGTACAACACAATTGCTGGCCTGAAGCTGAAAAGGAAGGGAGAGAAGAAGGGGGAGAGGGACGGGGGAGGGGGAGGGAGGGAAGGAGGGCGGGGCTGACTCCAAGGCTCCCTGAGAGGCAGAGGGCCCCAGTGAAGCAGAGCAAAGTAGGAGTGAGGACCTCAGTCAGGACCCATGGAGATTGACAGGCCTACCAGGCAGGAGCTTCAGAGAAGCGCTGCTGCAGCCCCTCCCCACAGGCCCACAGGCCACCCAGGATTCTGTCCACCCTACTGACCCTGTTCGTTTGATTTGTGGCCAAGACCTCCACTCTGAAGCTACTCTGCCTTTTCATTAGTATTCTGGGAAGCCAGGTATGGTGGCACAGGCCTGTAATCCCAGCACTTGGGAGGCTGAGGCAGGAGGATTGCCACAAGTTCAAGGCCAGTCTGAACTATGTGAGATCCTGTCTCAAAAAAAAAAAAAAAAGGCTATGAGAAGTTTAAAATGAGAAAAATAGCTTCTTTTTGTCAAACTTTCAATTTATGTGTTTACCAATTCCATTAGTATAGACTCCAGATTGTCTTATGCATCCAGTAGGTTGCAATCCATTATAATAATAACTTACGCTAATGCTCAAGACTTCTTCAGCTTGGCTTGAGAGTCCCCAGGAATTACGCTTTCCTTCAACATCCTCATCATCCCTTAAGCACTGAGCTGTGCCGGGCGTACACACTAGCTGGGGCCTGCCCCTTCAGCAGCCCTGGAATCAGCCTCTTCTCTGAGAAGCCTGGTTCCATTCAGCGGAAACGCGAGAAGCCGTGGGTGCTCCTGGGGCTAGGCAGAGGCAGCAGGCCAAGTGTGCTCACATGCGCAATACACACACACACACACACACACACACACACACTCCCCACCCCCCACCCCTTCCATGCTGAGCTCTACAACTGTCCACAAGCTGAACGCTGTGGGTTGGGCTGATACTCCTGCTCCTCAGCCAGCAACTCAGTTGCTTGTGCTCGCCTTTCCTGGCTGTGCGGAGACCCCATTCTCTTTAATGAGTCTGCCCTCTACACCACCGACTCCTACCTGCTGACTTGGCCCAGACAGACACACACCTCCACTGCCGACTCCATCACAGGGACACACACCGCTTCCCAACCAGCCTGACTCCCACACTTGGCCACCCCTCTCATGGACCCTCGGGGCCCCGTGTGGTGCTGACATCCCCACAGAGACCCTCCCTACTCACGAAGGCAGCTCCTGCATGGGGCACTCCCCACTCTGTCTAGAGGGACTCCTCTCCAACACCAGGCCTCCCCTCCAAGTAGCTTTTTTTTTCAGTACTGGGGATTGAACTCAGGGTCTTGCACCAAGTAGCTTTTCTCTTCTAAGTGATGGAAATGCACTGATACTTTCACAGGAGCAGTAAGTCACAGACAGGGCTCATGATAACCCATTTAAGAATGTTCACTGGGCTGGTGAGATGGCTCGGTGGTCTAAAGCACCTACTTAGAACAAGCTTAGCAAAGCACAGGGACCGCGGTTCAATCCCCCAGCACCACATGCCAGCCAGCCCCGCCCCCTGGTGGGCTGAGCTGGCCACACACACACACACACACACACACACACACACAAATAAAAATTAAAAAAAGAATGCTCACTGATATCACAGAGCTATAAAATTTCCTAATCCTGTATTGATGTGCTTGCCTGTTTGTGGCAAGGTTTTGCTATGCAGTTCAGCCTGCCTTGGAATTCATGGTGATCCTTCTGCCTCAGCCTCTCAGGTGCTGGGATTATGGGTTTGTGCCACCAAGCCCAGGCCAGGCTAACCCTACAAATTTAAACACCAAAATATGTGCCTATCTTAAACCCATAGAATAAGAATTCCCAGTATAAAGTTTAAGCTATTTTTGTTATTGCTTATTAATCTTTTACTTATTGTTTATCTGGTACAGGGTCTCGCTCCTCAACTCAGACTCATAGTGATCCTCTTGTCTCAGCCTCCCAGCACTGGAATTACAGGCATACTCCACCTTGCCCAGTCTCAGTGGCCAGTTCCAGGGCCCGCATGGCATGCAGTACTGGGTACCAAACCCAGGCCCTTGCGCTTGCCGGGCAGGCACTTAGACTGCCAAGCTATCTCCCCGGCCCATTTTTGTTTCTTATTCAACTTCTCTAGGGCACTTAAAATAATCCAAGTGATCAAATCTAATCAGATCGGATCTGTTCACATTCCTATTTCAGTGAATTAAACCAAGCCAATTCAAGTCATTCACTGGCTACAGCTATTTATCTTTGCACTAGGGTGAAATTCACATTACATAAAATTTACCATCTTTAGGTGAATAATTGAGTGCTGTCTAGTTGTTATGGTTTATGTCTAGTTGCCCTACACACACACAAAGCCTCATGTAGTCATAGGGTGGGGACCTCTAGAGTTTGAGGTTAATTCATGATCACAGCGGGGATTATGGGTCTTAGTACTGCTGGGATTACAGGTGTGAGTACTGCACCCAGCCTGAGGCGACAGTCTGAATGCAACATAAGGGAAACAGACTTGCTCTCTGTGACCGCTGTTGTGCTGTTCCTCCTTTTTACTCTCTGCACTTTGCCACTGCCATGAACAGTTGCTCTCTGCTCTTTGCCACCACCATGAAAGGTTGTTCTCTGCCATGTGCTACTCAGCCTTGGAGCCAGCCAAGTATCCACTGAAACCTCCAGTAACTGTGAGCTAAATAAACCTTTCCTTCCTTCATTTTGAGTGTTGGGTATTTGTCCCAGCAACAAGAGTAACTGAGACATTAGTCCATTCACAATGTTGTACAGTCCCTTAACACTGCAGCTCCAAGAACATTTTATCACCATCAAATAAAAACCCACGAAGCAACCATTCCCCAAAGCCCTTCTCCGTCAGCACAGGTCCCATCAGTCTGCTTCTGACTGATGTCTCTGTTCCACAGCTTTCTCACAGAGTCCTACACAAGACCTTTCCTGTGTCCTTGGATGTTTTTACAATTCCTTCACCATCACAGTTTGTATCTAGATGCCCCCCCAAGCCTTATGTGGTCAAAGAAAGGGCTTTTGGAGACAACTAGATCTAGGGTGTGTGCTGCTGGGATCAAAGATGGGATGCTGGGATTGACTCATGGTGTAATGCTAGGATTAAGGATATGAGTACTACACCCCGCCTGAGGGCCAGGTAGCCTCAGTAAGAGGCAGGGGACAGAAGGAGCTGTGGTCTTCTGTGATCCCCTCTGCCATGCCACCCTGCCTTGGAACCAAAATCCTTCTTCCCTTAACTTGTGAGTGTTAGGCATTTGTCTCAGCAAGGAGAAAAGCAACTAGGATAACCTTACCACAGCACAGATCAACCGTACCCCTTGTCTTCATCGCTGACTCCTACTCCCCCTTGTGGACACATGTGTTCCTACAGGTAAGTGGGTGGAGCCCGAGGGGCTTCCTTTCTCTCTGCTGCTCCTTCCTCAGCTTCCCTCCTCGCCGCCCTTCGGCCAAGAGGCCTCAGCGGAAGGTAAGCAGCAAGAGAGCTCGGACCCAGCCAAGTGGCTGGCCAGCAACCTTGGCAAGCACCACGATGGGCAGCAGGCCTGGGGCGGGGCGGCACGTGAGGGAGCCGGAAGGCCTGCGCGCTGAGCGCGGTGCTGCGTGCTCCCGCCACTCCTGGGTCAGCCAGAGTGCACGTGCGCTGCGCCCGCGAGGCCTTCAGGACGCCGCCGGCTGCACTGCGGACTCCAGGAGCGCGCGGGAATGCCACAGGGGGCGCGGAGCTGGGCTCGGCGGCGGCCTGCCAGAGGCTCACGGCCCCGGGCCCCGGGCCCCGGGCCCCGCGACAGCGCGGGCTGCGCCTCCTCAGGCCCAGCAAGGTGCCCAAGCTCAAGCCCTCTTCTTCATTAACTCCTCTAGAGAGAAAACTAACATATCCTTAACTATGTAAACTTTAACAGGAGATAATCAACACGCCCTCCTGTTTATAGTGTGCTTTTTAAGGATTAATATTGATAAAATTATTGGGAAATTGTTCCTATTTCTGCCCAAAAATTAGAATTGTTTTCGGAATCCGACTTCACAAATAGAAGAATTTAAGGATACGTACGAAATCCTGTTGACTATGGCATCTTCATCTTCTTGTTCATCTGCAAAAATACATAGTTTTAATATTCTTTTATCCTCTAATAAAATGTTTCATTATTTTATTGGAAAATATAAACTTTACAACGCAATTAGGGAATGGAAGACTTTTAAAGAGCATCGTGTTCACTTCAGCACAAATCCCAGTTTCAATCTCATCAAATCTGGTAGGACAGCATATAATTATAGAGTGAAATGCTTTGATTAAAAAAAAAGTCCAGATCAATCACCATTTATAATTAAAGTTTTCCAAATATTTACTCCAAACTTTGTTTTGTTTTGTTTTGATGTCAGAAATCGAACTCAGGACCTTGTGCTTGACAGGCAACCACTTGTGCCACTGAGCTATATTCCTAGTCCAGTTTTCCAAATATTTAAGGAAATAAAACTCAGCTGACCCTTAGGACATACGAAGTATATAGTTATAAATACACGAAAAGGGGCCGGGGAGATGGCTCAGTAGAATAAGCGCTTCCCTGACAAGCGCAAGGGCCTGAGTTCAATCCCCAGTTCTGCCAAAAAAAAAAGAAGGGAAAACTGCTACGGAATGAAACTTTCTGATAATATCCAACAAAAGTTGTACTAGAAAATTAAAATCTCTAGTTCTGTCTAATTTGAGTTTGCCATTAGTAATGCTGATGGTGAGGTTCTCTAGAGCATCCTAAGCTACTATGGATACTACTGTCTCAAGAATGCAGCAAACGCAAGGATCTGAGTTCAATCCCCAGTTCCGCCAAAAAAAAAAAAAGAAGAATGCAGAATTGTTTTTCAAGATACAGAGAGGAAAATACCAAGTGCTCGGAACCTTTCCAGGAAGCACACAGCCTCCCTCGCCAGGCTTCTCCCTTCTCCTCCCTCGCAGGCCTACTGGCCACCGTCCACTTTGGCCCACAGAGCCTCACTAGCCCAGGAGCCCCTGTGCACAGAAGAGCACTGAAAGGCACCCCAGGCCCTCCTGCTCCTCCTAACCGGCTGCACATCCTCACTGGTGCACCCCTGCGGCCGTGGACCTCAGGGTGCCCTCCTGCCTCGGTGCCACTGGTGACCCGAGGCCACTCTGCTAGTTCAGAGCCATCCTCAGTCGGGCTGCCCAGAGAGCTCTGCAACCAGAGAGACGCAAATTGTGGACACAATTTTTATGCTTATGTGCCCAGATCCAGCGAACTGTTAAGTCAGAGATGGCTGAAACACCTCCTACCAGCTTCAATTCTACTGGCGACACCCGGCAGCACTCCCAGGGCCCCGCCCCACCACGCCTGGATTAGCATAAAGGCGCTCTCACAGATCTCCAGTACTCCTGCTCATCCCCACCTGGCCCTGAAACAACGAATTTCTGTTCATTGATCCCTGACCCCTCTTTCTGTGCCTATAGTCTACAAATTATACCAAGATGTCTTTTAAGGGGCCTAGGAGAAGCTCAGTGGCATAAGAGCCTGCCTGGCAAGCACAAGGTCCTGATCCCTGGTACCACAAAAAAAAAAAGCAAGAAATTCTTTGAAAATAGGTTGGATCTGCAGATGCTGAAAATTCTGAAATATTACAAAATTCAAGTAAATTTCACTGCACCCACAGAGTTAAGTAAAGCAGTACAGTAGAGCAAGAGCTATCTCCTTATTTGTCTCAAAGTTTGACAGTAAAGTAATAACTTAATAGCATAAAATTCTTAATACACCAACTCCCAAAGCATCTTACAGCATCTACTACCAACTCAGCATCACAGGTAGAAAATGTTTGATTTCCTTGATTTCTAGGAAACAGCTAATTAGAAAATAGTAAAAGACAATACTTTGATACTTACAAAACCTAAAAATCTGTTAATCAGTACTAAATTTATCCTTCAAAAAGAATAAACTCAGGAGGTGAGGCAGGAAGATCATTGTGCGCTCAAGGCCAAGCTGAACTATAGCTAGAGACTCTTAAAAACTGAAAGAAAGGAGGGGAGGGGAAGTTCTTTCGGGCTAGGTCAGGGTAACATAAACAATGAAAGTGTATACTATATAATTAATTATCGAGGCCATTATGAAGACTGTAAATTCTATATTGCTGTAAAGAAAGAAAAGACATGGGGCCGGGGAGGTGGCTCAGTAGAATAAATGCTTCCATGGGAGGTACAAGGACCTGAGTTCAATCCCTGGTTCTGCCAAAAAAAAAAAAAAAGAAAGAAAGAAAGAAAAGACAGGCTAGTGGTCAGAAAAAGGAGTGTAGGGTTAAAAGTCAGAGCCAGTCATGAGAAACCAAGCATCCTCATAAGCTCTGGAATTGCCCAGGTGCTAGCTTGCCCAGCACTATTCTTGGCTGGACATAAGAACTGTGCTAAACAAGGACACCTCAGTAAGAGGTCATGAAGTCAAACAACCTGCAAGTGATTTTTAGTGTTCTTCGTGCCAGGCAACCTGCCAATTTCAATCACCAGCATATTCCATGCACTAACACTGAATTACACAGACACAGACCCTCTACTGTGTCTGGATCTCAGGGAACTATGGTAAAAGTTTTACTTAAAATGTGTCTACTTTTGGGTCTGATAAGGTCAGTCAAATCTCCTCAGGATTTATCCTGAGATCCTGTACCTCAGATTGTAGATCCTTTGTCAGTGTCAGCCATGTAGGATGAGTTACGGCCATTGCTTGGCCAATGTGCTCTCTGTGAAAGCCTGAGAGAATGTTTTCTCTCCACGTGACTCTCCTTAGGCACACTCTACATCATCGA